TTCATTGGTACCACCCACAGGTACTCTATCTTCTACTTTGCATGTTTTCAGAGTGATAAAGAAAGAGAAAGCAAAATAGGTGAAAAAAGAGAGAAACAGGTAGAACTTATCAGCCAACTTAAAAAGCAGCTTGATGATTTAGAAACATATGCATACAAGGTAGGTTTTTTGTGTCTTGACATTTTTATGTGTTTTTTGGGTTGTTTTGTTTTTTAACTTATTATATTTTTATTTTTTGGGTTCAGTTTCTTGTGTAAACGTTTTTTTATTCTATTTGTTGTGATATAATACCCAACTCTGTGGTGAATAACTATTATTATTATTATTATTATTATACATGTTTCATTTGACAGCATGCCCTAATTTTGTTGTATCAAATAGGATATCGCCATTTCACCATGTTAGGAAATGTGAATTATATATACTGTATTTGCTCTATTAGAAGTGCATCTCCAATTCAATCACATACATGTATGAACCCAAAATCACATTTCACATACTGCAAGAATTATTAAAATATTAATTATTTTGATCATAGAAACACTTCTGATTTATGCAAGCATGTGTGCTACTAACAGAGCAAATATGATAATGAACCTGGTATTTTTAATATAGCGCGTGTATTTATCACCACTTTGCCCTGTGCCAAGGGTTCATGCGCTAAGCAATGAAATCAGAAAAATGTATAATAATACGTTTGAAGATTGCACAAAGTATGCACTTTTGTTAGTATGTTGTCACGGCCACCTATGTTGATGCATCTGAAATACTGTAAAATAATTTATTTTAGCTGGAATTAATTTTTGACGAGTTGAATCTAAAATACAGGAAAAAATGTATATTTGCTGGATTTTATTTTCACTGAATCATTCCTTCAGCAAAAAATAGCGAAAATTAATTTCAAGCGAAAATAAAGTATTTTACAGTACTACGTAAAATCCTTATAATAATCTATTGGTATAACTTGTTGTTTTTTGATCATATTATTAAGTTCAAGCATATGTATAATGGTGTGAGTGATAATGTATTTAATTTATCTGTGTATAATTTCTACTAACTACATTTTTAATATAATGCTTTTGTAAATAACATGTTTCACTTACAATATTCTGGTTTATACATGTGTCATTTTGTCAGTTCTGCATAAAAGTATTCCAATGACTTTGTAAAAGTTGTTCTCTGGGATTAAGGAAAATCTTTTGTTCATTTGTCTATCACTCTAGGCTTTGCAGAATAAAATACTTTTCCAATTGTTGCTAGCAAAATGTTCATCACAGTATGTAACATGATCTGTTTAAAACTCAAAGCGGATCTCTTCATATCATAGTTCAGCTGTGTTGATTTCGGTATATAATTCTAGGCAAGTTTAATAAAAATCTTAAAATGTTGGCTCTTCATAGATCATAGAAAGATCAACTTTCACTTTTATTGCCACGCCTTATCCAGGGTTTGTGTAAAACAGTCAATGATTTCCGAGAACACAACGCATGCAGTCATGTGCTGACAGTACATGTACATGTATAGATACACCCACTAATCAATGTATTCATAAATAGAAACAAAATTAAATCCTGTCGTCTATCAATAAATATATAAAAATAAATAAATATCATTGCAAGCTTAGATAGAATTTAGGGGAAGTTTATGTCAGGGAATATATTTTGCATAAAAACTGCTATTTTTTCACACCAACTCCCCCAGACACCATATGTTTGTTCTAACATGACTAAAACATCATAATTATTATTCCAAACTAAAAACTTATTAAAAACTCATTGTGCGGTAATACTTTGATATCCTGACACATCTGGGAAAATCCTACCTTATATATTTATATCAATTACAGGAAGGGACAGGAGGTATACCACAGAATACAGTATTGGAAAAACAAACCATTATTTTAGAAGAACTCAAAGAAAAACTAGATTTAAATTTGGAGGATTTTGATAAATTGAGTACTGAAGACCTCAAGAGGACTGTGGATGCCGCAGTTGGAAAGGTAAGGAACTACACAAGTCGGGCAATGCAGGACATCCTGAAAGGCAAGAATTTGTTTCTCTGATGCTGATCATGTAGTTGCATATTAGAGGCAAGCCTGAACTTTGACCTATGAATGCCCATATTAGGGCAATTTTTCTTGAGATGCAAATCCGCCAAGTCATGTGTGTCAACAAACATGCAGTCTCTCTAATCTAGACTCCTTGACAATCACTAATGAATTATCATTCAACTTGTTTCTTTTCAGATTGTGAATCCTGCCAAGGTGAAAGAGATGGTGATAGACCAGTTGAAAAGTCAAATTGGAGACTTGGAGAGATTTATCTCGTTTCTACAAGGGGAGGCAACATCACCAGGACCCCTTGGTAATGAGAACTGTGACTGTGCTGTACATGGTGGTAAGGTAAGAAACCAAGTTACACACTTAGGAATCTCTACAACACAGTGGTTGGCAAGATAGTACAATCTGTGTTGCTCCCCTGGTAGATTACAAACCAGCCAACCAAGGTTTGGAAAAACCAGCCAACCAAGGTTTGGAAAAACGCAAACAAGCATCTTATTGATAAATTTATTCCATTGTAGATTATTGATTAAAAAAAATACTTGTGGCATGATATAGTTGCAGTATATAAAGTCATCTGTAACATATGTAAAGAAGGGATTGCAAAACAATATTCAGTTTAGACAAAGCTTTCAGTTCAAAGCATGGTTTGAGTTTTGAACAGGTTTCTCTCAGTATATGGATGTCTACCCCCCCCCTTTCCCTATTTGCATGATTTTACATATTAATCCTGTCATTTATAGGGTAAAGAAGATGGTGTCTCAGATGACAGTCCTGAATGCTGTATATCCCCACAAATACATAATGGTGACACAGATGTGAGTTATCCTGAAACCAAAGCAGCAATTCTCTCAGCAAAAAATGAAATACAATCACGCACATTGAATGTAAATTATCCACCAAACTGTGAAAAATTGTTCAAAATTTCCAAATAGATTTAAATCCCTATATAACCAATCTTCACCTTTTCTGCTTCAGAAATCAAGAGAAAAGAATATTCGAGTTTTGAAACGGGCCTTGACAGTATTACAGTTGGTCGCAGTCACACAGTTTGGATGTGGAGCATCAAAGTTACGAGAAAACCCACCACCGGATAAAAACACAGAAAAAGGATGCGAGTAAGTACTGAGGCAAATATATATTGTGAAATGGCAAATCTTATAGTACTTGTATTTTGTGTAGAAATGGGTGAGAAGCTTGTATGGAGAAGTTTGTTACACTGCTAAAAAGCAGAGATGAATATGTAATGGACATATATAGGTAGTTGTTGATTAGATACAATGGTTATAGTGTCAGTTCATGTCACTTTCATGCCTTTTCATTAAAATTGGGCAGGCATGTACAAATATGTAAAATTATTATTTAAATTATGATTTTCCTCTAATTTATACATGTATGAAACATTGTTGTCAAAAATATGTATATGCACATTCTATTGTTTTCTTGTTCCCACATCTCATGCAATGTTCACCGTATGTACCTAATTTGAAATGCAATATGGATGTAAATGGGTAAACATAGCTCACATTCTACTAGTACTCTATCTTCACAAAAAGCAGTGAACAATTCCTGTTTGGGATTACCTCCAGTACTGTACATAGGCTGGGGCATGACTTTATGTGCACTCCAAAGACATTATTTTTGAAGCAGACATTGAATGAAAGTACAAGTAATGTGCCTTGAGATTAGATTTGGAGGATGTTAATGATGTTGTCGGTTTTTCAATAGAGAGTTGTTAAAAAGGCTGGAGAAAGCAGTTGATTATGTGTATGAGCTAGCTAGAGTGCATTTACATGAAGCGCCACCGTCTGATAATGATTATACATCTGATTCAGAAGAGGTGAGTATTGTTCATTTCTATTGGTTACCACATCATCACATCAGACTTATGGCTGAGTACTGACCAATCAGAAACCTGGTTATATAGTGTTGTGGAATCATTATTTCTACTCTGATTAGTTTATCATTTATGTCAATTTGTTATCACAGACACCATGGACTAGACCGTTAGACGAAGTAACGATCGGAGTTAGAAGGAAATTAGCTCCTGCACTTCGAGATCTCTTCCAGCATGGATTGATGAAGGTTAGTGCAGTGTTGTTAAAATAATAAAATGTTTTTTCTATGGTGGTTAGGCATTGGTTTGATTGGTCATCCTTTGAAATGTCATCAGCAATTGTTACTTTCAACAAAATACACCTCACAGTTTTGTTTTCTCAAGATATGCAGTCAATAAAAGTGAGTAAAAAAAAAATTTATTAGTGTAATGTTCTTTACTATAACCTGTGTACTTTACAGATGAGTAGAAACCGTAGTGTGATGTTACCGATATCATGCCTGGTACCGAGGGCGTCAAAGGTCTCTACAAAGATACACGCATGGGAAGTATTAGTCGAGTATTATGAAATGAAAGTAAGTATTAACATACAGTTAGTAGTCTCTAAATAATTTGACATCTGATTTGATTTGATCTGGTTCTTTATACAACAGTGTGAACTGACATTTATCATCATTGGTGTTTAATCTACGTTGGGTGGTTGACTCGTTGCTGTTTTTGTGCACTATTAAGTACAGTTCAAGAATGACATGAAACTAGCTAGTCAAGAGTGAGTTAGGTGCAGTCTGATCTTACACATAGAAAAGGCTATGAAGTTTAACCACACCACAAAAAGCTGTTTTCGTTCCATTTCATGTGCTTGTCAACAGCATATCATACAAACATATCGCGAACCTTCTACATTTCAAATACAACCTACAAATTCAAAGCTGGTCTGTTAAAAATTCTATTTAGCACTGATCATTCTTATGATACTGGTTGGGGTACGAGTTTCAGCGTTAAACATCCCCCACCCTACTCTATCACATTATACCTTATCATCAGTATTATCCACATAGTAGCCCAGTAACTTAAAAAATCATATATTAATTATGCATTTCTAAATGTTATCATGATTTGTGTATTAAATAAACAATGATTTTTTGTCCTCTGCAACTGCCCTAACTTGAACTGCTCTAATGTAAAAGTTACCTACATTCAATAAGTTTACACCAATTATAAGACACTTGACATGTTGTTCTATTTGTTTTTGTCATAGAATGGACTGCGGTACACGTCATCACCAGCCAGGAAGTTGTCACAGTCATTTAAGTTGGATATAATAGGTGGTGCTGCCATTACAGGTAAACAGACTCTTTTGACTGCCATCGACAGTGTCAGAGCATCTCATGAACCGCTGAAAAGAAGCCTGGACTCGCAATTCAAGGCATTTGTGTGTGAAGGTCTCAAGTAAGTGAACATGTCTTACCGACTATACCGGTGTCTGCTTGGTTTCACCCTTACATGTCAGTAGAGACAATAGTGACATTCACACTGGCATAACAATATTTCAATCAAACTGCTATATAATAGAGACATCCATTAAAAGGAAATCTAACTCTCTCTTGGCAATAGAATTTTATAGACTTTTATAGTGTTATGATCTACCTTTGGTAGTAAGCCAATTTTGAAAATTTGCACCATACTTTGATTACTGTATCTATAATGGTATTACCTTATTTTTATGCTGACAGTGAACACAAGTTAGCCACTTGGTGCCGACTTTTAGCCAGGACTCCATCTATTATAGATATGCACTATACGTCATGGAGTTACATGCAGAAAACAGGTAAAAACAACTTTATATAACATACTGTAAAAGAATTAATTATTCACTGGGTTTTAATTTTGCTTATTTCGCTGACTAGAAAATGTGCTAAATTAAAACCCAGTGAATATGTAAAATTTAGCATAGAACACATTATCTAAATGATAAAACCGTGAATTTAAAACCCACTGAATATGCCTGAAATCGAAAATCAGCGAAATTTAAACCCAGTAAAAATTAGTCATTTTGCAGTATTTCATCGGTTGTTATGGTTTATTGGTTATTAGCGTCAATCAACTAGCACCTCATATAAGGTGTTCTCGTTAAAGTGCAAAGCTCATTTTCATGTGAAAACTTATCAGGTTCTTTTTGCCAAAAAATATTTAAATCATTGATAGACTTTTCAAGATACAGTAGTACACACAATGCATGTTATTTTTATCTGGGTAAAGAAACATTTTTACAAGTCTTGTATAAGTTGCACGATACCCATTTCAAACACACCGACCGTATAGAACCACACATATTTTATGGAAATACAGAAACATAATCGTGACGTATCATGAAAAAAATTCTTGTTCTTTAATATAATTTGTCTGTGTCAATAGTAGCAGTAGGGAAAGGTACATATAGCATATACCCAATATACCAAATGTGATGTCACTTAATGTTAGTATTTTGTAAGACTGTTGTCATCTTTACATTTCTAGATAACTTATTCTATATATCAAGTGAGTTAAAAATTGAGCAAAAAAAAAAAATGGGTAACCAAACTTATCTCTTTGAAAATAATATCTGTATATTACCCTCATGCTGGTACTGTTAATAGCGCCCATTTTGAATACTAATTGCCAAAATGTTGGTTTATTGGGAGAGCCCAAAAAGATTGTTCATTTGAAATGCATACAGACAAAATTTAATTATTTTATTGTAGTCCAGGATTTGTTTGCTGATGGATTAAAGTGGCACACAAAGAAAAACTGATTTGCACTTTGTTTCACTCTCAAACATTAAACCTATGTCTGACATTTACAGGATTTGAGAAAGCCATACAGCAGCTGGATCGACTAACACCTCTCAATTTTTACTTGCCAAGCGACTTGGCCATCAGGCAGTTTCACAATATCAGGGATGCCTTTTGATGAAGAAGAAAAAAAAAAGGAAAAAAAGTCTGCTGCCAAAAATATTGACTATTTACTAATGACGACTATGGACTTCCACTTGAGTACTTTGCAAATGATATATTTTAATCTAAACAATCATTGTCTGATTATGTGTTTAGTGCACTTGATCTTGAATTTGCGTTTACAATGTGAATGGTGACACATGCTGTGTATTGTCTATAAAGGCAATATCTTGAAGTATATACTATTGTTATCGATTACAGTAAATGCTGTTCAGATCATCTGCCTCCAACACTGACGACCAAGATGCCAGCAACATTCCTATATAAGTGATGCTGGCATTTTGGTGGTCACTGTGCATTTATTGCTGCTATGTATATTGTACTGTGTAATATATTTGTTGTGTTAGTGTTTATAAATCATGTAACAGTCAGGTCTGTAAAATCTTGTCAAGCTAATCTGGATTACCGTAAAATGAACTGATTTGTAAATTTTGAAAGTTTTTTTTTTGTTTCAGAGGCCTGTTCTATGCAGAAATGCATATAAAAATGAATTGTAAAATAGTCAAATCAAAACTTTCCTCCTGGTCTCTTCTGCTCCACCACTCTATTATGTTAATGTGGCCTGACTTGGTGATGCTGCAATTAAAAATGTACCAAGTTTATGTCAATGGGTGGTCGAAAGATAAATAATTTTATGACATTGATTTCAATAAATCAAGTTCAAATCATGTTTTAAGTAAATACTGTACAGTACATTTGGAAACACATGTGTGTATATATATGTATAAGAGTAGTCGTATTCAAATTTACTTGATGTATGTTAATAGACTAACACATTATGTCATTCAAGTTGCAATAACCAATCAAAACACACAAAAAATCACTCCTTTCTTTAAATTTAGGGGGAGCTGTATCTGTATACAAACGCACATGTTCTACTGAAAACAATATTGTAACAATATATCAGCCAACAGTTTTATGAAATTTCAAATCAAAACTATCTAATTTATTTAAGATTATAAACTATATAATTTATTTCAGATTACATAGTTTAACTGTTTTAATGCATGAATGGCTTTATTATTTTCTATTTCAACAGACTGCCAAACGTCAGACAGAAATCTAAATGCCATACCTCAGTCTAAAATGCTTTTGAATATAGCTTCTTATTTTTCTTTTTTTACTTGCAATGCTAATGTTTGCCTATCAGACACAGATTGACTTAACAGGGTTAAATAGGGGTAAAGCAATATCATATATACATCACAACTTCTGTGCCATCTTCAGAAAAAAAAAACATTCAAATATGATGTATTTATTTTTAATTTGTTTTCAAGTGCAATCAATGTGTGGATCAGTGTTCTAGTTATTTCTCAAAATTTACCTCATGAAACATCTACTATGACTGAATGCTGATATATTTTATGTTAGTTAAACACTTAATAAATACATGTGCATTATATTGGTTGACAGCATTATCATTTATTTAGAAGCAACTGAGAGAGTTACTACTTCAGTGGAATGATTGCTAAGACAGAATTCGCATGCAGTTGCATATCAAATTTAGTTTGAGTGGTATGTTGAGTACTGTATATTCCAGCTATCAGATAGAGGAGTGAGGGTTTCAGTTTTCAAAATAATGATGATTTAGCATGTTGTAATAGTGCTCCTCGGCTAAAAATCTTTCTGTTAACACTTTTATTTGGTATTTAGTTTTTCAATGTCATTATGAATCTCAGAATTATCTGATTACATATCATCAATGTTAATTTATGTTACCCATAGATCTTTTGTTTTTACTTGTACGTTTATATCATAGAAACATGCTATATAAAGTTATTTTATTATTTTACGCTCATACTGCCATTTTTGTTAGCTACATCCTGGTCTTTCAGATGCTTATAAAAGCCCCCTCATGTGATTTACTATTGTCATGACTGTAGATTGCTTTATTTTGGGTTTTGAAAATATTTTTTGTTTCTGTAGTTTACTCAAAACTTATTACAAATCATTGAAAGGCAGTAAAAGCAACATAATGATTTCCGAGAAATAATTTACAGCTAGACATTGAGTGTTCTACAGTAATGTATATATTAACACTGAGAACTTCAAACTACAGATATAATTGTGAAGTCTTTATATAGTAAAATTTATTATTATTTTTTTGTAGTTATTTATATTTTAGACAAGATACAAAAACTGGTGTTGCTTGTTTAAAGTGCAAACTGATAGTTTTATGTGCAATATAAATAAACTTAAGAATTCCCCATATGCACCTACATTGACTGGCGTGTTGTGATTTCTGCATAATCTGTTGGTTGAACTATGGCTAACTGTGACATTGAAGGGATGATATAAACATATGTGAGTGTATGAAGAAAATACAGGGCACCCCTGAAATCAACACCGGAGTTAACCCCTATAAGTATAATCCCTTCTTCATTGTGCAAGCGAATTAGTAACGCACATGCCCCCTTTCCCTCAAGAAATGGCTTGCATGTTGGTTCAATAAATTGCGCCCTCTAGTGGTAAAGCGCATGCCTGGCAGGTCTTAACTCCACAAGATTATTCTGCTTTGTATCAGTATGCCACCACTTCCATGTACTTTTAATGTACTCGTAAGAATCTGGTATTCAGTTACTTTAGCAACAGTTGGGATAAATTTTAGTTTACTATTGTTCCCAATAGATCAGCCATACAAACTGACAAAACTATTTCTCTTCTGTATTTACTGAAAGTGTGGTACCGGTATTTGTTTTTATGATCGAAAGTTTTTGACATCTCAATAATGAAAAATCATTAAATTTGATGTCCGTGATATAGTTTGAAAGTTAATTTAAAGTTTTGTATCGTTAGGTTTTTTTCGAGGAATTTTGCTGGAGAATGACCTGAAATGTCCGTCGCAGTTCAATAGCGCCCTCTCTGGTCTCATTATATTGTTTTGTTTTTATGTTTATTTCATGACTTCATTTTAAAAAAGTGATTTTAGAAGTGGGCAGAGTTTACTATTACTAGTGGTTGTTACTGCCTGTAATATATTTCACTAGTTTTAATGCCGACCAAGTAGTTTACTTCGTGATCACTGTCTGTTTTAGGAAGTCACGCAATTGCAGAGATTATCCGGATTAGAATACTGTAAGAAATTGTTTTGCCAAAAGATCAATCAGTTATAATCAGTCCTTAATAAGTGCTTGTCATTTGTTTTCAAAAGAATCATGTCAGGCAGATTAAAATCACTACATATTATAATGAAATCAGCCGGTTTGGTGACTGAAGTTAGGCGATCCGTCGATTCATAAAAAAAAAGATACTAATGCTTAATATCTGGGATACATAACTGCTCGAACTCGGGACTTTGTTCTAAATAGAATCTTCGTATTGCCTGGAAACGTTTATGGGCAGCTAACATGACGCCCGCCAGATTGTTTGGTATTGTAAGCCTTGTATCTGTCATGGCGAAATAAAACAGAATTGTCACTGTCCCTGGCGAAGTTCTCAAGCCAAGTTTCTGTCAGTGCAATCAATGAATGTCCCACCGTGACGAATAATCACTGAAATGTACAATTAAGTCATTACTGCAATGCACTACCATGCAACGTATGGCCACAGAAGAAAGTTGGGACGGTGAGCATCTTGCGCAAAATCTGTCATAAATGCAGTTCATCCATGGACAAATACATGTTGGAAACCCGGTATTCCTTCACACACGACATGGCCCAGCTAATATCAACAATTTATAATTAATTTTAGTAAACTATGTTTAACTTCATTTAAAATATTTACTATTTCAAAATAATCGCATTTATTTTTAATATCTATTTTAAAATGCTCATCAAAAATAGCAAATCGTAATATTTTGCACAAAAACACAACTGATGGGATAGTCAGTACACCGCTGCATAATGTGGGCATCCTTTAAAATATGAAGAACTGTGAGCCTAAACGTCAATGAAAAATGAATTTAGAATTGCTGTAGTTCAATCATAAGATATTGAGACCAAAAAAAAAATAAAATATAGAAAGCATATAGTGCCTAGAACCAAGAACATTGTATGATACAGAAATATAAAAATGAAATAGCGAATGGGCGTTCTAAAACTGACTACAGCAATTTACGGATTGGCTTAAACTCCTCCAGTTTGGGTTAGCCTTCACGAATTACTTAAATCATAACCAATAGATGGTTATCGTTTGCAATCACCGCTTGACCATGATGATCTAAGTACTTCAAAAAATAAATAATACGAATAGTACATCCACCTGGAGATATTTACGTTACAATATATTCAATATATAACGGAACCGTAGGGCATTAGCACACAATGTGAATACGAAAACAACTTGTCAATATAACACATTAGCATTGCGGGCATCTTCGATTTTTAACACATTTTTTAAAGAATTCTTAGTACGATGCTCGGATTAGGGAACAAATTTGGTTATTCCAACTAATGCTAACATTTATAAAACGTGCGAAACTGTCCCAGAAAAGATTGTAAGCCACATCAACTCTAAATTTTAAAGTCCACGATCGAAATAGCTAAATGCGCTAACTCAAAAATAGTGAGTATGTAAAGTTACTACTAAAATATATTATTTCCTTCACAAACAAAATAAAACTTCAAACTAAAATTTAACCCAGTGAATATTTTTCCTATATACAGTATACAATTTACTAAGTGTAGTCTCAGACTGACCCTACGGAGGAATTGTTTGCACGGACAAGGTGAAGTAAGCTACTTCGAAGAGGACCGATGAGACATGATACACATCAGAATTTCCCCAGTTGCCATCCCACCAAATGATCAAATTTTATCTGTTATAATGCTACCTGTTTGTAGGATCCAATGTGGCAAGTTGATTGTATGGTTTGTTACGTTTACAGAAGTTTTTTTTTTTTTAAATCGAATTTGGCTTTACTTGTAAAGTTAGTAAAAAAGATTGGTCATACCTATATATTGCCTTTTCTAGACCTTCTCTCAAACCTGGAAGTCTGTAAAAGTACACCGTTTTCCGCGGGCCCTCCCTCTTTGTTATTTGTCATTGTCATTGTTTAATTTTTTATTTATAGTGTTTTAGTAAACTTTCTATCATACTTTTCAAAAATAAATATACTTTTGAATAAAAATAAATCATCGGTTGTAAGTCATATACTGTGCTAGTTAACCCCACCAGGAGGATTAGGTGATACAGACCTGGCAAATAAGTTGTCTGTTTGGAATAGTAATTAGCCTTATTTATCTAGTGGTTTTACACGTCAAATGAAAACTCATTTTCAAAATGTCCTCCAGCCCACCTCCCAGTTTTCAAATGCCAGCACCTCTAGTATTCCTACCGCGCACCGATTAGGTCACGCGGGTCGGTGAAATATTAAGTGGTCGGATTGGAATATAATTAGCTCTATTTATCAGGATTTTTTTTTACATGCATTCACGAAAGCATTGTGCAGATCCGAGTTTTCCAGCACACCTCCTAGTTTCTAAATGCCAAAACTCAGCCAGGGATCAGGTTATACAAATCCAAACGAGCTGGTCGGACATAATTAACTTTATTTTCCAGTGACGGTGTTACACGTAATATAAAAGTATCGCCAATGTAAAGCGATTTCAATAAAGAAAATTGTCACATCCCCTCAGTAAAATTGGCTCTAACTTTCCCGTCTTTTTTGTTTCGCTTTTCTATAATTGGAAATGCATATCAATTCTCGCGAGAATGACAACGGTTACACGTGAGATTATACAAAAATACTCCAAATGAAATGAAAATATTTGCTAAGACATTTTTTACATGGTTTTAGGCTTGAACTTCCACTCATTTCTTTGTAGATAGTATTGTTTACAGGAGATCACAACATGTTTCGTCTTCAATTTATTCGGATATCACAAATTCTCTCATCAACAAACAAATTTCAGTGACTACCGTGACCAGTTTTATGCAGTTTAAATTTTCAGAGAGTGTTTTTGAGCCTAATTTTTGGCAAGATTTCACGTAGTGTTGAATTATTAATATTCATATACCAATTTTCTAACTGTTTTGAATTTTCACTGTGTCATCATTTATCACGAATAATTGTTTCAATTGTTTTACACGTTATAAGATTATTTGGTCAACATCTTTCAACATTTTTTTTTTGTCAGTTGCTGTTCAAAGTTTTGTTCATGTGAAATGCATCATTTAGAAAGATTGAACTGACCAACCGATTCAAATATTTGACTGCTTGTTTTTGGAGCGTAACAGAGCGTACAGAGTATCTTCCAAGCTCGCTGCAGATGGCCATCTCTGAGGTATCATTATAGATTCCAAGGAGGAATCAACGAAACGATGAGTGCATATTTTCAGTTGTTCAGTTACTGATCTAACGACTTCCTACACGTGTATGCATTTGTGAATATCTGTGCTTTGTTCAGTCGAATTGCCCATTGGGCGTTCTAAAATTGCGATTCGTGGCACCCCCTCCCACGTAGTGTCGCCACCCCCAAACTGTACCAATGGTTCATGGACGGTTCTGAAGGATTTACCACGTTCCGTAATATGTTGTATAGCGAGACCAGGTGGCGAAGCTTGGGCAATTTTCTGTTTTGTTTTGCTGACAATCTACATATTGTATTAACTTTTTGATGTGTGAGATTTGTTTCAAAATAAGTTTTACTTTAATATTTGCCCAAATTAGATTTATAATAAACGCAACATTAACAAAATTGACAACTATATTCAAAGAACTAGCAGAAGACAACGTTCACGTTTCGAATAGCATCATGGGTAATTTAACGCTCTCTAGGGAGAGGGTATAAGGCCTAGCAACTCAAGCAGCCATTTTAGTATCGAGCGGTGATTGTGTGTTGACAGAGTATGCGTGATTTGTCCTTGCCGATGTACAGATTGAAACTGAAGCATTAGCAGACGGAATAGTCGCTCATGTCTACTTTAGACATTCCATGGTGTGAGTAGTGTTTGGTGAGCACGCCGAAAGTAGTGTAAGCTACCATGGGTTGTGGAGGTAGTACAGAAGGTCGGAAGGACGACAAGGAGGATGGTAAATTTTCACATCGCAAACCCAAAGTTAGTATACGAGTACCACCAGACGTGCACCCGCGAAAAGAGGGACCTCATATTGTGTTCGTATTTGGTAAGTACTGGATCAAGGTGACATTGTATCTCAAACGTAGTGATGTTGTTTTATATTTTTCACATCATGATACGTCATCATCCGTTCACCAGGTCCCTGTCAGTAGTGTTATCTGCCAGTTCCAGTGGAGTATGCCCCTGTGAATGACGGTCACCGTAGCACAAGATTCAAGTACAAACTGTATACGTACGTCATACTTGTACTGTACAGGAGCATTCGAAGCCAGAAACGTTGCGTTATTTTAGTATAAGCACTCATCAGCAGCGCGTTAATTTATAACAGTTTACTGCGTTTTATTTCGTTCGGTCTATTCAAACTCAGCTGTTGGGAACAGTAAACGATATCGACAACCGCGCGGTTCAACGTTCTTTGCACATGATACCCGACCGTAAAACGTGCGACATAGAATAAAGCTAGTGTTGACATTGAAGACCAATGATGTCGCATTTTGTCATGAAACTAAAAACATAGACCAACACAATGGCAATGCACTATGCTATCGTATGCGGCAATTGCGTAATTTTGTCAGGCCTATTTACATTGTGTTGTTGCATCTCAACTCGAAGTATAAACGAATTACATGTATTCAGGAATAGTGTTATCACAAACATACTAAAGCGTTTAGTTGTAGCTTTTAAAACTATGTCCATAATTTTTATTAGTGTGAAGATATGAATGAATTTCTGTTATATTCAAATCGAATGGTATTCACCAGCAAAGAAGCTTTGGATCATGATGTGAAAATAAATTCGCTTCTTGTGTCTAGGGCCTATATACAATGTATATATATATTCCTATATTGTAGTCATGTAAGTTTCTGATGTAAGTGGCTTAAAAAGTAAAATTTCCGGTTCAGAATTGGGAATATTGCCATTTAATGTTTTTTTCTGATTTTCTCCCAAAAGGACTTGGATAATTTTGTTCATATTGACTATCACAAAAATCTCTACTCAAACCGAAACAAATATTGTAATCCTAAAAAAAACACGCAGGTTTTGTACTAGTTGTACATGCATAAAATGTAGTATTCAAGTCTAGCAGAAATTTGTATTTGGGATGCTCTTATAAGGTAGATGTATAAAAAAAAAATAATGAATATGGTAATGGAATCTCTAACATTCATCAAAGTAACATTTCTTTAGCAATTGTTATCTGTAACTCGCTGCATGGCAGCCATACACAACATTTTTTATTTTTATTTTAGTATTGCGTCAGGTTCATTTTAATTGTAGTAGCTTGCAGGATGTAAATGTATACTACTAGTAAGTGAAAACTCACACAGTTTTTACGCAACTATGTCCATAATTTGTTGTTGTACATCACATGGGTAGATTGGCTTACTCCTAATATTAAGATATTAATTTTAGTGAGTGCATGCCATGCTTGCTTGGAAATCAGCTTTTATCGGGAAGTGCAATTGTTTGATTTTTTTTAAATTTCAACCTTGTTTGTTGTCTAATGTACTTGTAATGTATATGGCTGAATAATAGCCCATGGCACACATACATGTACATGTACTACCAATTCTTATCTTGGGGCTACCATTTCCAAATACCAATAGCTCTGGTGGGACTTGTATAGAGTACTTACATGTAGTATGAATATATGTAATTTGTAATTTGCAATTTGTAATTCAAATGTGTTTGGTCATTCTAAAAACCTAGCTTTGTTCGTTAAAGTTCTGTTTTGAATACCATTTGAAATTGTTTCTCCTATAATATACCCAGTAGTTGTTGAATTTGAGTTTTCTTTTTAGTGCTATCATTACCACCATTTCTCATGCATTTATCCAAAATAAAACTTAATCTCACTTGAAGAAAAAATTGTTTTCATTGTTCTTGTCTCAGGTTTAATCAAACTAACTTCGTTCTTCATACTGAGAACATACAGATGATTAGTTGTTTTGAAAATGTATTCAGTGAAGACCACAACTTATTTTCAAACTAGTCACAATTTTTTCTAAATAAAGAAAATGTTTGATTGTGTAAAAATGACTTGTGTAAAAGCACATCAATGAAATTTGATCAAATTTGCAATAAGAGTGGGCTGTGACATTCTCAATGCCTTGGATAAAATTATTAATTTAATCAATAATAGAAACACACAGCGATGGTAAGCGCTGTGCATTTTGAGTGTTATAGACACTGCCTGTATTTTCCTAACCTTGCATTCAAATGGTGTGATTCAATCAATTCATATCAGATACCTATCTACAGACATGCACAAAGATTAGAAAATAGAAGCCCCACTGTACATGTACTTGTACTTGCTAGGCTGTTACAATTCAATACACGATTGCTAATACATGTACGTGTATGTGTACCCACTTGGAATTTCGTATTGTTTTGTGTTCAAGCTCCCAACAATAATTAAAATTATGAATTTTCTCTAAAATGCTTAGATCTTGTTTGACCACATGTTAAAGTAGGTATGTTGCATTCTCTCTGTATCTTATTTTTTCACATTTAATATGTATCATGGTAAGTTTATAAACTACTTGGTGGTCAGCCTCTTGACTTTTCACACTGCATCTTGAAAAATAAAGATCATTACAAGATGATACTGTTTTTGCAGTCTCCCATTTAGTAAATAAAAAATATTCATTTGTCAGACTTCAAACTATGTATGTATGTGTGAGAAATAAAATTAATTTGATAGAAACCTTGAAAGAGCACTATCACATCTGTAAGTAGTTCAGCTAATTGGTAGCTCTTCCAAATGACATTAGCGCTCGACATCATATATCATGTATATCATTTAATTGGTTGAAACAGGGACTCCAAAGGCACCTAGTTTTAAGACCAAATTATCTCAGCATGGTGTGATAATATGGGGAATATTGCAAGGTAACATAGGGAAACTGTTTGGGCATGCAAGCCTTTGTTGCCTCTATGAAGTGTCTGTGCATGTTTATTTAATAACCTAATCCTCCTAATGTAGTTGGATGTCATGCTTCTCTGACAGTAATCGCAAGTTTTTGTCTAGCTTCATGCCTTGAATGCCATGCATACTTTGGTGATTCTACTCATTTGTGACAATACACTGATGTTTAATATCTGCTAACATGATTTACGAACGTAGTTACTGTGGATGAGAGATAGTTGCTATGGCTACATAACATGGACTCAAGTACGAGATTTCTGTTTCTACTATGCAGCTATCTATGTATTAAAGTGGCTGTATGTGTACTGAGACGCATACATGTAGGTGTAAGCCTTTTTCAACATTTTCCATTTAACCAACCAAACCTACACAATAAAATTGAATTCATGAGTGTCCTTTGATAACAGCTTGTTAGATCCTAATCACTATCGCTATTTTCATATATGAATAAGTTCATTAAAACTGATTATGCAATTTATTCAGTTTTTGGGAGAGAGAGGGATATTGAGAGGGATTGGGTATTGTACGTGTCAAAATATTGAAATTCCATCCAAATTGAAACTAGAACAAAACATTTTTTTTTTACTATTTTGACCACATAACTTGCTGTTACTTTTGCTAATCATACCGGTACTACATTTATAGGGTACCTGAAACTGTCTGTAATTTAGTGATGTATAAATATATTACAAGTATCTCAAAACACCCCTGGCATTATTTTTAAATCTACTGTTTGGCTTTGGCATACCAGTATGTGATATTCTATTCACACTAATCCTATTGGCATGTATGGGCTAAATGCATAATAATAATAACAAATTTTATTGCATCCTTGAAATAAATTTTTCATCAGTTAAAAGCAATAACAATGAAATTAAAAAAAAAAAAATGTAAAATGCTCAAAAGAAAAGGGAAAAAAAAGAGAAGATAAAAGTAAGAATTATCTTTTAATTGGATGTTCTGTTCTAATGTCAAATATGGCATATACATATTCACCCACTTGCATTGATCCTTCTTGCATGATGAGCTCAATCTGCAGAGTTGTGGAGGTAGATGTTCGATCATCAATTAGCTGATGATGTTGATTGGGAAATGTGACACAAATTGCTATTTGCAGTAACCGCATGATACATACGAGTCTTGTATTAAATTATGTATATTCTTCTTCTTGATGCTATCAAAATGGTCAGATATCTTCTTCACATTTTCAATTTGTAGTCTAAGGCATTTTTAGACATTTCTATTTGGTTGCATTTTGAGTTTATTATTGTCTTGAAACTACCCATCTTCTCCTTGACCACAGGCACCCCCCCCCCCCAAATGCTTAATCTTACAAAAAACTTTATCAGTGTGTAATTTCTATTTCAATTGTTAGTTTGTGGGTATTAAACCTCTGATTGGTGAAAGGCTTATAACTTAAAATGCAGCTCATCTCTTAAATTTACATGTGGTTGTTGTAGCATTGTCAAAGGAAAGAAAATTTAAAATCTGATTATTGCCGTTCAGCATTTCAGAATTTATGATTTTAGAAAAGTGACATTGTGTCAAACTGTATAATTGTTCAGCATGTCAAGTTCTTCAGAGGCCAAAAAGGCCATTGCCTTTGAAAGCTCACCTGACTGCCTTGATTCCCATCAAAACAGTTGGAAATTATGTCTTTGGAATTAGCTGCCTGCTGAAGGAATCTTATACAGTCAGGTATTGGAATTGTATCAGATTAGTTACAATGTATGTATTCACAAATAAAATGTAGATCTATATGCACTTTTCTTCTATTGTGAATTGATTTCTATCTTGTTACTGAAATCCAAAAACAGTTCACACAGTTCCATCGGAACAGGCAACACAAGCTTTGTTTCCCAGTATGCATTGCACAGTTTGCTTCATCTCCATGGCGATGATCATTCTTGCATCAATAAAAAAAAAACAGACAACAAACAGGTAACTGGAATTAAATGGTCTTGATTTAGTATAATATTATGACTTTTTCTTCAATACAATGTACTACATCTATGACGTACATTGTATTCATATATTATCGTTAGCTGTACATATTTTTAATAGGAAACTATAAATAACACTTGCTACTGTTTTTAACAATCTTATCTTATTTTGAC